AGATTTTTTGTTCCTTGATACTACCTACCCGTGGTGAAAAGAAAAAAAGGGGGAGGAAGCAAAAAGTACAAAGGGGTACACAGTCAAAAGTCCACCTCCCTTCCACCTGTTGCCAGAGCGCCTAGATTCCTTCCCTAGATATAACCTGATTATGTTTTTTAGACATCCTTTCAAAAGAATGAACTCATTTCTGTTTAGATAAAAGTGACACCACATATGTGAATATTTATTTGTCTGAGCATGAAAAAGAATCCTAAAGACAAATGCACACCAAGATCTCAACACTGATAACTTGAGAGCACATGCAGGGAAACTTAATGTTCTTGAAAACACCTCTGAACTGGTTGTATTGGTACAAAATATATATACCACTTTTGCTATTCACAAAACTCCATAAGGTTAAAGTATAAAAGTCAAATTAAGAGAACAGGAATCAGCCAACTTTTGTACAGAGTGGTGGAGCATAATAGCTGATCCCCCAATATGCCTGTTTGGTATATGAATTGTCCTAAACTAAAGGCAGTTCGGACCCAAAACTCAGGAACAACTTCTTGCCTCTCCCACCCCCTTAACTATCTAAAGGAATTTAGGAAGTAGACCTGATGCAGGAAGCAAGCTATCTCTGGAGTTAATTCTAGTGCTTGTTTGTACAAATTCCTTCCTGGGTCCCAGTATCTTGACATGGCAAACATTTGTTTACCAAACACTGGAACTTCTCATTTTCCTGTGAATTGCCTTCCAGAGTTCTCTTTGAAGTCCCAACGTCTACCCCCTTCTCCTTAGACCAGGACAGCAAATCCAGCCATTTTGCCTTAATGTCTTTGGACCAATCGTGTCAGTGAGAGACCCCAGTAAGTATGTAATTGTTTTTTTTTTCTTCCAATCATGTGTTTGATGTTAATTTAATCCTTTTCCCAGCTGAAAAAAAAAAACTAGAAAGTTCAGGAAAATATTTCCTCTCCAACAATGGCAGGAAAATCTACGATCTGAGAATCAGCAGCAAGTTAAACTAAGGCAATATACAAGATTTCCATTAGTGAGAAGAGAAACTCAAAAATAGAGTTGGAGATTGGAAAGTGCTAGCATCTCCCCAGGCCTGACTGGGGCAACGAGGTTGCCCACTGGCTTGAATCAGCTAGGCATCTGACTCCATAAGTTACCATATTACCTTAAGATTGTTTACAGACTACATTTTACCATTTTTTTTTTTAGTCATCATACCTTTATTTTTAACAGAGCATGACAATTTTGTATTACACATTTTCCAAAGTTAAGCTACCATGTTCTTCATAGACTTTTCAGCAAATGGAAAAGAGACAAGAAGGTAGTCACAAAGCACACGTAGGACACTATCAGGGATTTATTTATGTGTAAGATAAAGATTTATGTTCTTAGTAAAAGGGTGAGAGGCTGGCTGAGGAACATATTAACACACCTTGTTATGAGCATATGATCATAAAAGATAGAAAGCAGCAAATACAAAGTTTGCTCTTATTCATTTTCTGGTTCATTATGTTACAGGGCAGGGTGAGGGGGCACCCCTGAACCCCCAAACCTGCCTGCTCTAAATAGGTTCTGCCATTCACTGCATCAATACAAGACATATGAGCTTTAATGGAAAGGAACTTTAATACAATGAATGTACAATACAGAAGACAAAGAATATAATTACTAAATCAAACACCTGAAGTGACCCATCCCCTTGTGGGCAAAAGTCCACCCAAAAGGGATTGATCCAGGCCTGAAAACCCGCCACAAGCCTAAAGCACCTTCTGGCAGGGACCCATAGAAAAAGGTCAGAAATGGCCAGACAAGTCTGGGAGGAAAAGAGCACAATCAAAATCAATATAAACACTGCCGTAGTGAAACTCCCCACGGGTCTGTCACCCACATCTGTTTCAACCAGCACAGGGCCAAGAAACAAGCACGGTTTCTTTACATGTCTCCCTCTGCTCCATGTGGCTTCCTCAGGTCTCCTTGCTCTCCATCCTGCTTCCTTCCTCTCCAGACTCCTCTTCTCAGCTCCATCCTCCTCCTTGGTGGGGTAGGGAACCTGGAACTTCCCCTTTTCCTGGGGACCACCCTGCTACAATTATACCTGAAGGGGGAAAAATAGGCATTTTTACTTTCAAGGTTAAAACAGTCCATCAATTTGATCTCTCCTGGCCCACAGCTATGAAGACTGCTTGCAGCTCCCTTGAACATGTTATCTGTACTGAAGCCAAAAAGAGGGCAATGCTAAAGAAGAGGGAATACCAGCTTTCCCAGTGGGAAGCTCTCACACAAGTTGCCTTTAAACAAAACAAAAAACAATGCAACCAAATTGAGCCAATTTCCATACAAGAGGGTTACTGCTTCAATTGTTCCTTTCCTGGGCAGTGCTCTCTCTAGGCGCTTAGGATCAAGTCCTGCCATTCAACCAAATGCTTTAGGATGGAACTGGTACCTTAAGATTTCCTTAATGTAGTCCCCAAATTCCAATTCAAGCCCTCATAAAATCTGGGTGTCCTCTGGTCTTCAAAGTAATAAACCTACTTCCCTTAACCTCCCAGCCATGAAGTGAACTGACAGGCAGGCAGAATTCACAGAGCATGAAAAATAGGCATATTCCCATCATTGAAAGCACAGTAAGTCTTCTGTAATTAGAACCAGTTCTCTCAATTGAAACCCTGCAGTGCCTTTTATAAAAAATGGTCTTTATCATCATATGTGTTAATAAATGTAGGAAAGAACCTTAGAAGCTTAAAATCAGCTTTGTCCTTGGGATATCTTACGCTAACAGACAACTGGGCTGCCTTTTCATTACTGTTATTCATAAGGCTTTTAAAAAAGACAAAGGGAAATTTGGAAAATTTTTTAACTTATTGAAATCCCCTTTGGACTCTGGCCAACTCATTCTTAGCTCTTTCTTGCTTCTTTTGTCCTCTCTCTTAGTTAACAAAACCACTAACAATGTCCCAACTAGAGTTATACTTTATGTCACAGTGGAAATGTCAAGTCCAACCTATACTTCAACCCTGACTCTCTGGTAGAAGCTGTGTGACCTTGAGCAAGTCAATTTCTCCATTTTGGTTTCCTCTTCTGTAAAATAATCTCTGATCATTATTTCTAAATTATTATACATGTGTATTTACCCAAATATGTGTCAATTTGGCATGTGGATTATTTCAAATTGAGGTCAAATTGTAACAGGGTGGTCCCTAGGAAAAGGGGAGGTTCCAGGTTCCCTACCCCCACCCAGAAGGAGGGTGGCCCTGAGCAGGGAGGAGAAGAATCTGAAAAGCAGACTGAGGAGGAAGGTAACAGGATGGAGAGCCAGAAAATGACCTGAGCAGAAAGACATGTGAAGAAACTGTGCTTGCTTCTTGGTCCTGGACTGATTGAAACAGATGTGGGTGAGAGACCTGTGGGGAATTTGATTATGGCGGTGTTTATCTTGATTTTGATTGTGCTTTTTTCCTCCCAGACTTGTCTGGCCATTTCTGACCCTTTTCTATGGGTCCCTGCCAGAAGGTGCTTTAGGCATGTGGTGGGCTTTCAGGCCTTGCTTTGGGCCAGTCCCTTTCGGGTAAACTTTTACCCATGAGGGGATGGGTACTTTGGGTGTTTGATTTAGAAACTGTGTTCTTTGTCTTTTCTATACTGTACACTAATTGTATTAAAGTTCCTTTCCATTAAAGGTCACATATGTCTTGTCTTGATGTGGCAGATGGCAGAACCTTTTTAAAGCAGGCAGGTTTGGGATTCAGCCATGTCCCTCTCCCTGCCCTGTAACAAATTGAGGCCCTGTGTACTCAGCACTTTAACCAAGTATTCCTTACACTACCTAGTATAAGGAAAATTATACCTTATACCTAGTATAAGGAAAATATTATCCAGATTTAGGATTTTTTTAAATCTGAAATAAACTTTCTATTGGATAAATCTATCTATATCACAGGGCAAAACTGTAATTTATAAAGCATCGAGTCATACTCTCCTTATCATGTGAGTACCCCTCCTCTCTCCTTGAACTCCCAGGTCCCTATCCCATTGTATAATTCAGGGCGTTTTACCCCATTGGCTTTTGAATCAAAATCCGTGTAGATTCGCTATATGTATGTAATTAAATTGGGGTTTTCTCCTACTAATGTTTCTGATATTAACATGGTTGCTTGAGCAGTCAGAAAACTTGGGCGTTGAGGCGTTGTTTCCTCTCTGACCCTATATCTGTAATAGTCATTTTTCATTTAATTCTTACAACAACCCTTGGGAGGAAGAAACTATAATGAAGCAACTGAGGTACAGAGAGTGTGAGTGACTTATCCAAGGACACACAGCTGGTACACTGCAGGATTCTAACACAGTCTCCAGAGTCCAGGCTTTAACCACATCTACAGCCTCTTCAAATGAAAACATAGCTACTAACGGTTTTGTTTTGAGGATCGAATGAAATAATGTGTGGAAAGCCTAATACTCCACTAAGTGTCTGATAGGTAGTAGTTGGGGTTGTTATGGAAGGTTTTTCCCCTTCTGCCCTGGGGAAATCTGTGTGGCTCTTACTTGGGACAGGATAAACAAGATTAGAGGGAAGAGGACCCAAGTCAAAGGACAGGAGGAAGGCCAGGTGGAATGTGGGGAGAGAGATAACGTGTAAACAAGAAGGGAGGGGGAGGGAGCGGGAGCGCTGCCTATTTAGGCAACAAGAACTAGCTGGCCAGGCCTGGCGAGAACGCTGTGACACCCTGGCAAGGTCCCACAGAAGCTGGCCAACTGAAGAGTATCTATTCAGCCCCGAGGCCTCAGGCCCCGAGGCCCTAGCCCCGGGAGCCCCCACCCAAGCAAACGTCTCCCAGCCGCCGCGGGGGGTGGGAGGGGTAGAGGGGGGCGGGGCAGGGGCCTGGCTCTCAGGTTTCCCGGCTTCCCCGCCGTGGACCCGCCCCCACGCTGGGCGGGCCAGGCCCCGCCCCCTCCCCCCAGAGACCCGGAGCCCCAGGCCAGCCGCACGGGCCACGCGGTGACCCCGGCCGAGGCTTGGGCTGGCGGGACGTGATGGCGACTTGGCGGCGGGACAGCCGGCTGACTGGCAGCCAACGGCTGCTGTGCGCCGGCCTGGCGGGAGTGCTCAGCCTCAGCCTCACCGCGCCGTTGGAGCTTGCCACCGTGCTGGCCCAGGTCGGCGGGGCGCGGGAACGCGCCCGTGGGCCGTGGGCCGCGGGGCTCCGTGTGTGGCGTGCCGAGGGGCCCCGGGCCCTGTGGAAGGGGAACGGGGTGGCATGCCTGCGCCTCTTCCCCTGCAGCGCCTTGCAGCTCGCCGCCTACCGCAAGTAAGAGCCGGGACGGCACGGGAAGCGGGAGGCCGTGCCCCCAGCCCACAGCCCTGCTGTGGGCCACAGCCCCCATCTGGACTTAGTGGGGCCCCCTCGGGCAGTTAGACCGAAACGCTATGGCCCCCTAAGCCATAACCTCCCCCCCCCCAAGTTTCTCTGCCTCCCCTGCCCGGCAAGGAGTAGTTTCTGAGGGGGGGGCGGGGAGCGGAGGTGTGTTCTGGCGCAGAAGTAGCTTAAGGCGGGACGCGAGGTGAGGATTTTGGGGAGAGGAGACTAGAGATGTCCAAAGAATGGCTCCTAACCGGTCCGCCATCCACCAGCTTGGGATATTTTGCCATGGCTGGCTTAGGAAGATACAGATCCTTTTGAAGGAGTGCGTATGTGACTGTCCGTGAGTGACGGAAGCCTCCTGAAGAAAAGTGCTTGGTAGGGGCTGAGGGCCCGCGTGTGTGCCCCTCCCTCCCACAGGAACTCTGAAGTCTGGATGCGGCTGACGGAGCCTATAGACCTCTCTGGCCCTGGCCCCAGTCTTTGAGCTCCTCGCACCTTCTTCCACAGCTTCTTAAGAAAAGAACTAAGGACCTAATGAGTCTTAGTTACCTCAGAGCTAAGAGGTATTTGTATTTGATCTGTAAACAACCTGAAAGAGTGGAACAGTGATGGAATTTCAGGGGGGGTGTTTCCGTATGGGGGGGAGTCCCAGTGTTCCACTTTCTGTGGGCACAGACACCCACTTTGAAAACTGGCCTTAATTCTGAATTAGACAAACAGCCCACAGTTTTGACCAGTTCAACTTTGGAAGCTGACAGTCCAAGGATGTGCCTTGACACTTGTTTACTGGGCAGCCAGAGCTGAACTGCTCCCAGCTGAGGAGTGCTGGGAGTCCTGGAGTGCTCTGGCCTGGCCTCTTTTGTCTTTGCTTTGGGGAAGGAAGATAGTGAGACCCTGTAGGCTTTTCTGAGGTGGCTGCCCTCCCTCCTCACGCCCCCTCACCCTCAGCGGTATCTGATCTTGCAGTTGGTAAATAGTTCTGAGTTTTAGTAACTCCATTTCTCCCTACTTTCTCTCTATCAAATGTGTGGAATCTCCCTTTAGACTCTGACCCAAGGAAAGGAAGGCAGAACTTTAAAGGCTGTTTAAGTTTTGTGGCTTTTCTCACACCAACTAGTGTATGTACATCACTAAGATTTTTATGCAGATTTATTGAGATACCATTGATGTGTAAAAATAGTTTATAGTTAGCTTATACTAGATATTTTGATAGATGTAGACTTTATGAAATGATCACCACACTGACGCTAATTACTGTACATTTCCTCTATGTAGTTATTCTTGTGTGTGCATGTGCTTGCAGATCATACGATTTTTACAGCTTTGGCCTCCTGCCCTGTGAAGTCCACAGGGCAGGAAGTATTATGCCCATTTTACAGATGTGGAGTGTTACTGACACTCGTCAGTAACAGAGCTGGACTCTACCTGGTTTCTAAATCCACATCCCATTCTCATTTCTGTTACATCATGGTGCCTTTCTGCATAAGCTTGACATTGATTTAGTGAGGCTTCATGGAGTACCCATTGTCTGTATAATGCTAGGGACCATGTAAGGATCAAAGGGGCATGACCACTGTGCCCCAGAATTTAGAGTAATAGAAAAAGAGACTAGTGTGTCTATAGTGCATGCTGGCCATGGATTACGTGCTATAGATATTATGGCAGGTGTTGTCATAAGTACAGGCACAGAGGTGGAAAGGCATGTGGCATGGCAGGCCTAAGGCTTGTCTTTAGTAGCAGTGGGAAATACAGCCAGGAAAGCTTGTTGAAATGAGATCTTGGAGGCCTGGGTGAAGGAATTTTGACTGGACATGTAAGGATGGCAGTGGGGGACTTCTAGGGAAAGGTGCATTGGTGAATGTGATTCAACTGGAATTATCGGCACCCAGAGGCAGGGTAGGATGACTGGAGAGGAGGAAGACTCCTAGTGGTGGATCAGTTAAAAACCTGTTGAACTTGTCCCTGTGGCAGCTAAGGGCACCTGAAATAGGCTGGCCACCTCAGGAGGGGAGAAGAGATGTGGGAGAGGAAGAATAGAGAGTTATCTGGGCTAGGTGTGTATAAGTCTTTATTTTCCTTTTAAGACTTTCTGGAAAGTGGAAGTATTTCTGTGAATGGCTAAGCATAACTAGAAGGCAGAGAGAGTGATTAATCATAATGCCATCTTTCCTACATGAAGGTGATTCCTTTGGTCCATCATTTCACTGATAATCCTTTGCTTTTTTCCTGACCATGAATTTGTAAAAACAACCTGTGATTGTGGGTTTGAACAGCTTGGGCATCCTGGTTCAAGAAATGGTGTGGCTGGATGACTTGTCCATAAACACAGTGGTGGAATTGGAGCTTGAAACCAGGTCTTCTGATGCTTAGTTCAAAGTCTCATGCCCCACTGCACTGCTGAAATGTCCACTTACTCAGATTTCAGGTCACAGCCGTCCACTAGAGTATGTTAGGCGTAAAGTTTTCATGTAGTAAAAAAAAAAAACCTAAGGCAATGGGAGGCTTTCAAAATATCAGACAGTAGCCCCTCCTCCAACTTGACATCTGCTTGTCTGCTTCTACAGGTATTGGCTTGAGTCCCTGCAGCTCTGAAATTGTTCATACCCGACACCATTCCTTATTGTGTGACCCCTCCTTGGGCTTGTATTTGGCAGCTTTTGCCACTAACCTGAAGTGTCAGCAGTACTAACTACAGATACTCAGGATGTTGAGCATGTCTGTGTGACTGAAAGGAAGACCATAACCAGTCTCACTGGAAAAAGCTTCCGGGCATGTGTGTGTGTGGGGGGGGGGTGCCCAGGGAAGAAGAGAAAGGGGAACATGCTGCCCAGCCAGTCAGGCAAGATTTTTAAATCTGGGGACCAGGATGATGTCACTGATAGCCTATCAGAGATGCCTTCCTTGACTTTGTGATTCTAAGCAGAAAGATTGTGGTTCTTGTCCCTGTATCAGATAGCTGGAGTCTGCAAAGAAAGGACTCTTTAGTTCTTACTTTTAATTTTGTAAATTTGACAGTAAGAACCTACTTTAGAAGACAAACTCTCCCAACACAGGGTTCCTCTTCCTAGTTCTAGTCATTCAGTGAAACAGGGACCTATTTAAAACACTCTTAGGGGCTATGACGAGTGTTGTTAGCAGTGTCTGGTACCTTGCAGATGTTCGGGAAATGGAGAATGAACAAATACTTGCCCTGAGCGTGGCCCTCAGAAGATACAGAGTAAGTGTGAGGCACTGAGAATGAACAGTGGTGGGGTTTTTTGTTGTTGTTGGCATTTCAGACTCCTAGTTTGTTCCAGTTCCATGCAGACCACCTTTCTAGCCACGCATTTCTGTTTTCTATCTCCCCTGCCTCTTCTAAGGTTTTGTACAACTTAGCTGCTCAGGGGAGAAAAGAGGGAAGAACAAGGGTATGAATAGCTAGTGAAACTGAGGCAAATGCCAGCATCTTTAAAAGGTATCTGGTTAACTCAGATGAGTGGTTAAGGCACATTGACAAGATGAAGTAAAAACTTGCCTACAGTTTTAAGATGTTACTTATCCATGAATGTTTACTTGAGAGCAAAGGAGCCGTCTTTGAACCCCCTCTGTCATTTCAGGGGAACATCTACCTGTCTTATTTAGTGTGCAGAGGGCCCTGGGATGCTTCCAATCTGAAAGAGCAGGAAGAGGCACCTCTTCACCGGAGGGCTGAATGCCAAAGCCCTGGGGGCTCTCAGTTTTAAAAAGATACAATTATGGCAGCCTCTTTCTACTCACTCTCCTTTTCAAACAGTACCTGTCCCCCCTCTCTCCTTACCCCACTTTCTGGCAGAAAGTATGTTCTCCTAGCTTCCAAGCTTTTTTTATATTGTCCTCATCAGCAAGGAGTAAAATCCCTTTGCTTCCTAGCCAAGCAATGTCTGTCATGTAAAAGTCCCTTATACCTATCTGGTGGGTGTTTCTGGCTTGCTGGCTTGGAGGACCGTGAGACTTTAATCCCAGGGTTATAGCCCTAAGTTGGGTGGGCATTAAAAAAAAAAAAAAACGGTTTCTTGCAAGGTGGGACCTCCTGCCTGATGAAGCTCTGGGATCGCAACAGAGTGGCTTTCTATTTTGCATTTGGAAAGGTCTACCTGGCCCTCCCTGGTGGCACTGCGGGTTAAAGCACAGCACTAAGAAAGGTCTACCCAATGGTACTTTCATGAAATTGTAAAACTACAGTTACAAAGAATTATCCAGCATCTATATACCCACCATCCAGAATTGACAGTGTGAAAGACATTGTAAGAGAAACTTGAAGTATCTTTTCTCAGATACAAGAATTAAGCAGATGATACCACACATGATATGGAGGCTCACAAAATGACAAAAAAATAGGCTATGACAGAAAAACTGAAGTCTTCTTCTTATTCCTCATCCTACCCCCTCGCCACCTTCCCAGAGGTCTATTTTACACCTTTTTGTACTTAACAATCTGTGATATGGTTTTGCAGCCGTGTTTGTTAAATCAGATAGATGCTTACCATACACTGCAAGTCACTCTTCAGTTTGCTTTTTTCATGCAGCTCTATGCTTTTATGATTTACCCATTTTGCTGCATAGTTCTAAGCTCATTCATTCTAACTACATAGCATCCATTGTATGACTGCACAATTATCCACTCCCTTACCAAAGGACCTTTTTGTTCGCCTTTCTACAGTTACAAACAAGGCTTCATATTATATATACTTATAGATGGATGGATGGATGGATGGATGGATGGATGGATGGATGGATGGATGGATGGATGGATGGATGGATGGATGGATGGATGGATGGGTGGAT